TAGGTGATAATGTGAAATTAATTTAATAATGAGACTATGATAATTATTCGGATCATAATGGAACGATCCGTCAGATGAACCAATGAGAAGGGTTGACATGAGGATAAAGTATCGATAAGATAATACGATTTGAGCATGTTCATGTCATTCTGCAAAGGCTTTGCTGAGTGCTTCGGATTAGAGATTGAGCTGGTTTCGCTGAGTTTATCGAAAAAAACAGAGTGCAAAAGTTTCCTGATCGACGTAGCTTGCTGCATTAGGTTCGTCGGCGGCGGCAGGCTTACAAATTCTGTAGCCCTATATCTGACCGCAATTGGATTGAATGAATGATTGCTGTCGAAATACATATATCGTCGATCCTCGTATATAATCACCAACTTAAATCCCGTTGGTGAATAACGGAATGAAATACGTCAAATGCGAGAATAGAATTTTGAATACATATATTTTCTATACTCGCTGATCTGAACAGACAATCAGAAGAGAGACCGAAGCGAAGCAAAACGATGAGCGGTGAAGGCATGTGAGCCAACTCCATTTAATCAAGCGTTAATCAATATTTGTAGTCACACAAAAATAAGCTAAATATATGTGATGAATAGAATAATAAGTGCACACACATGCGCTCATATAAAAAGTCATGGTTGATAAGTGCATAGTTAAGAAGGTCAAAACGCGAATCAGGAAGAATGGTAAATTGGTCTTTGCAGGCTGGAATAAGGTGTATGGGGTTAACATAGTAACTGACACTATACTCTGTTTGTTCTTTCAGGATCATGGAGCCCATGAGTTTGGAATCAGGGTTTTCCAACTCCACTTAGGTGGATCTTCTGTGTCCACTAACCTGGCTAGAGCGCCCGACATTCAATTTCCGTTCTCTCAAATTCGTAAACAACAGTAATACCGCGAGAAGGCAGTGAGTAGGACTTTCCTGGTAGTGACTGGCCATGTGAGAGCATTTAGAGAGCCGACTCCCCCCACCCTCGGCAGCACCAAAGCATTTGGGGGATGTAGTAGTCTTGTGACAGTAGTGGTAGTCTTTTAACAAAAGACTACCTCGAACAGTCTCAATTGTTTTAGACATACCTAGAGGATTTCTGTGTCCAGAAACACTAAACCACTGTATATTTTAAGATGTCGACAGATTAATTCTAAATGCTCATCTGAAAGAAGACCAAGATCGAGATCGGTTAGAACAGAAATCCGAAGTAGGTAGTCATAGAAATAAATCTTATCAACTAGCAAGAACTTCATCACTATTAAAAGCTAAAAAAACCGGTCTGTAATTGGATACTTTTAACCTAATATCCTAGGGGGTTAAACGTTCAAGATCGATAGGTCTTTCGAATAATTCTTGGTAGATTTAACAGGTCTATATCAATTCTCAAGGTCTTAGTTCGGTGTTTCATAGATGGATCTATAACGCAGAGTAATGTTACTGATCCATAAGGTAACTGAGATTGTTTGTTTGAAGTAAGACAAGCACATATCCAATTTGAATGAGTTTATTTTGGTTTTCGAACTTTCTGAATAGCCTCTTTCAGATGACAAAGAACATATGAAAGAAACGATATGTATTGATATGAAAATCGTCACTCAGTATACAGAAAGTCATCACAAAGGTACCTCTTAAACAGCTTTCGGGTAAGCCATAACAAAGACACCTTTGTGTTCGTGCCAATATACAGATTAGTCTAGTTATGTACCATTTGCGTGACAGGATCTTCACCAGTATTCAGTTTTACATATAATCTATTCGTCCATTCAACCAAAGTGTTCGAATCTGCACTAAACTCCATTTTAAGGTGTTCACTAGTCACAACTAATGCACTTAAACTTGTACAAGGTATTGAATTTTTAAATTGACAGATTTCACGTTGTCAAGCATAAGAAATTTCTTATGATGCTGGAATAATACTTTACACATAGATTATCTAAACATTTATTACTATATGTTGCCAATGATTCACTCTTTCGATGATTCCTCAAATAGTCAAAAACATCCACATTGATACATGACTTTATTTGAAAAGCATCTTATTGTAGAGAAGAATACATAAACGTTGATGCAGTATGATTGTAACCAGATCATTGTTTATTACAAATCTAATAAGTCAAAAATACACTTGGTGTTCTTTTACTTGTAAGTTCACCTCATTGCACAAGCAGATGGCTATAAAGAGTTAGTAGCTAAGTGGATAACGCGATAACGTTTGAAATGAACGGTACTGGGTTCAAGTTGCAGAGTGAACATCAACATTGAGATGTAGGCACATCCATCTGACGAGTCCCAAATAGGACAAAACGCGCGTCAAACTGGATTCCACTGTTAGCCCCTATTTATTTTTGCTTAAAAAACTCAAAAATACAATTTTTATTCTATAGTCAAGTTTCTTCTAGTGAATATCACTTTTAATTTACATTTGCTTTACTCAGTTATTTCAAACTCCATAATCTGCTAAGTGATTACATTATTCAATATCCATAATTAAAAAAAAGAGAAGTCGATACAAGAAAACTCCAAAACGTATCTCCTTAGAGAAGTTATATTATTAAAATTAATTTTAAAAAAAAAATCGTCAGAAAACAAATAGGCATAAACTGGCCACAAAACAAAAGACGATCCGTTTGTTGTTGTTGTTGCTCTTGTCATTATTATGATGCTTAAAATAACTAACCTAATAAGCAAGACAAAAACGAAACAAAACAAACAATTAGCATAGAAAGGTATGAGAAAATATTTTTCTTTTTCTTTTTCGCATAAGAAAACCGGGGTAAAGAACAATCTACAGATCTGATTCACTTGAATAGCATATGAGTTCCAAAACAAAACAAAAAAAAAACGAATTACACATTCATTCAGCCTAGATAGATTACATAATTAGTATTTCATCTTGTATCTTCCTAAAGTGAAGAGAATATAACAGAACAAATACAAATAAGAAACAGTAAGAGAGAATGAGAAGAAACATTCAGTGATAGAATTGAAACAACCACAGCAACAACAACAACAACAAGAAAAGAGAATCTATTCCATAAACAATAGAAATTAGCACCAAAAAAGCAACAGTGGGATACTTAGCAAACAGATAGAGAAAGAGAGGGGGCGGAGAGAGAGAGAGAGGGAGAAGAACATTAAAAACATACCATAATAATAATAATAATTTAGCACATAGCTGAAAATCTATACACACAAAGAGAGATAAATAAGTAACTAAGTATCCATGTATCAAAACAAAAAGGTTATCTATCTATCTCTATACAAAAAGGACATTCAACAAACACTAAATTTGTATCCATGTACATTATTATTGAAACATTGAATACATTTATAATATGTATAAAACAATTATGAATTTACATATAGCTTAGTGTGTTTCTGTGTGTGTGTGTGAGTGTGTGCAATCATAAATGATACGTTGAATAATAATCAGTAAGTAAAACAAAACAAAAAAAAACGGAACTTTTAGTGCTTGACAAAAAAACAAATAAATACAAGTTGTAAAAAAGAGTCAACAAAATACAAACAAACAAACAAAATAAAGAAGAAGTCTATTGTCGTTGTTGTTGTTGTTGTCGGTGTTGTTTATTTTAAAATGAATGAGAAAAGGCATAATTTTGTTTTTTGTTTAGAAAAAAAAATCGACTAGAGTTTTTGTTCAGTTGTCATATGAAAGAGAAAAAAAACAACGAGAAAGAATATCCTTGAATGAAAACAGGAGGCTCGGGGGGGGGGGTAAATAGAATAATCACAATAATTGTGCATGATGTAGGCAGTGAATAGTATTGAATAGAACATACAAATACTCAAACACCTATAAATACATACATACATACATACGTACGTAAATACACACGCATAGATACATACACACATATACACCGGTAGCAGATATATATATATGGAAACAAAATACAAATGTTTACTAAGAATATTGAAAAGCATACAACATGTTCAAAATTACTTGACAAAAAAGAGAAGCCATACAGCAACAACAACAATAATAATAAAAAGAAGTAATGTTGATTATGAAAACAAAAACTTTCTGTGGATGAAAAACAAAGCCATTTGTTGTTGTTGTTGGAAAAATACAAACAAACAAACAAAAAAGGGGGGATCCACAGTGCCAATGCACTATTACTCCAAATCGAATAATAATAATAATAATAAAAAGGTTTACACAAAAATAAGCATCAAATAATAGATTGAAAGCCGATTGAATATGTCATTGCTGCTAAGTTGGTTTTGTTTTTCTTTACTGGTAATGAATAGATATTGATGAAGGGGGGGGGGAGGAAGAAGAAGGAGAAGGAGAAGGGAATAGAAAGTGGTCAGAACAAGTGATCATTCCCAAATGTTTCATTGAATGATTATAACTGTACACATTTAAAGGAAATGAAGGACTAGTTTATTTTAATTAGATTAAAACTATATAGATAGTTATTCAATGATTTAATAATGTGATTCCCACTAGAAAAAGAAAAGAATTGATAAACTATGATTAGCAATTGTTAACTATAAGGAAATGAAATGTCAATTGTTTTATTTAACAAGACAAAAAAATAACCCAGAGTAACAGTAATGCTGACCAATGACTTACATCTAGTATATATGCAGATTGTATTCGATAGATTAATTCCAGATGAAGTACTATTGGAAACCAGAATGCATTGAACAAATGTTTCACCCTAGTATGAGGCTTCTCTCAGTAGGGAACACCTACAAAAATTTTTTTGAGGATCAAACAGTTGTCATGATGGTATGTGTATTGGATGATGATCATGTTATAACACAAATTAATTGAAGTTGAGTTTGTATCAGGTGGTTCTAACAGTGAAATATTCATCAAGAGAATATGAAGATCGAGAGTTCGATTCCACGACGGATGACCGGTTTATAATGCTTAAGAGTATCATACTAGGGGTGAAACAGCTGTCTACCTCGTAGTATCATAACTGTGATTAGTCTATATCGAATATAACCAATATAAGTTAATTACCTGTCATGATCTTGTCAGATGGTGTATATTCGTGTATTTTTAATTTCATAAAGTCACATAGTTGATAAAAAGGAATCCTGTTAAAAATGTCGAAACTTTGATGCTACAATCTGAGTTCACCCTTATTTATTATGTATAAGATTAGAGAATAAAAATTCAGTTCTTCCCGTTACACATTACCAATAATACTGTGACTATATATACACAAAGAAAATAGTAATCGTTGAGTGCAATATCTAATGTTTGCATCAAAAACTAACCACTTTGTTGAAGATCATTTGAAATATCACAGTTTTACGAATTGAAAGTTTACCGATCATAGATTTAAAAGACAAAGCAGAATAATTATGCTGGAATGAATAATGACTTTGTACAAAACGAATTCCGCCTTCAAATAAACAAAACTTAACAGATCATCTTTCCTCAGTACCTCCAACTGCATTTACGAATTCACGTGTACGTACCATAGAAAATACAATGGAAAACAGAGAGAAGAGTAAATATCCGCATTTTCGATGCTTGATCTGATAGCTCTAAAGAAATAGCTGTTAACACAATATATTATTGTAAATCTTTGGTTCATGTTGGGTTTATAGCCTGATTATACTGAATGAGGTCACTGCCCGGTTAGCTTAGTGGTACCGTCTCTGACTGTGAAGCTGGGTGACACGAGATCGAATCCATCAGGGAGCACCAGTTCCTTCAAGATTACAGGTACACCTTGCTAACGAGTGCCAAGTAGCACGAAACCCGGGTCCAGGGTTTCCTGTTGACTACCTCCAACCACCATCTAAATAACAGCTCTAACAATTTTACTATGCATTTACTTAGCCACATTAAGAAGTTCTCACGAGCACGAAAATATACAAATTCCTGGAACTTCTCCCAACATGATTCGCTCAACAAGAGTAGTTGAATTGATAGAGTGATTATAGAAAACAATAATTGTAGTTACCCTGCATTAAATGTTCTTTGAATTACTCTGTTCAACTTTAGCATTTCCTTCAGTGAATCACCGCTAAATTATAGACTAATAAACAGAGACTATTTTTTTTTCTCACAGTTACAACTTACTTATGCTCTATTTCCTTGGCTAAATGTTGATTACTAATTCATCTGGTGAATAGCTACAGAAAAACAAATGTGTTGAGTGATAACCCTAAAGGAAAATGGACGAACAAATTACTTAGTGCCTATCGTGATGAAGCAACCGAGCTATACTAACTGGAACAACCGTTCCTCAAGGTTCCAAAATGTCAGACAGGTCGGTTAAAGAGCGGTAAGACTAAAAGCAACAAACCCAAGGTCTGAAGGCGAAGTCGTACTGCTGACTGTACAGAGGTGTGGCAGCAGTAAGGTGTTTCCTTCAGGCAACCAGCATGACAGCGATGCTGCCTTCCCACAAGGAGGGGTGGGGTTAGAAAAGGTCGACTCTAAAAATGCACACCTCGCCTTATCCCACGGAAATCCGTCTCCGGCGGTAAGGTCTCAACAAGTACGGAGCCAACACAAAAATTAATCACCAAAAGATCGTATGTGACCGACCTCAAGCAGTTGTCCCTTGGGCACTGCGGTCACGCTCTCAGGTCACTAAGACCACCTTTAATCCAACTTCCTTTTCAGGTACCTCCAGAAGAACCCTTCCACGGTGTGAGCAACCGGGAAGTGAAAACCGCCCTCATACCTCTAACAGCACTCAAGACCACTGTATTCATAATCAACCTTGTATAAATGTTTACATGTTTAAATAAATAATGAATAACATCATGAGAATTATCTAGATTTTGAATCTGATAAAATGGGTTACATAATAATTATGCAAGATTTGATGAGTTGACCATAAGTTTAGAGAATTGAGCAGATAAAATAAAATAAATACAAATGAATGAAAGTATAGTTTAAGTATAATTGAAGTAACAATTAGTTTAGTGCAATAAAATAATTCTACCTCAAAGTGACCTTAAATCTGTTGGGCTATGTGTTATTTATGCTCGAACACTGATTACCACGACGTGCAATGATGACTAGTGTTGGAGATGGTTGTAAAAAGGTTAGGGGTAGCTAAACCAAAACGTGGCATCAGTGTTTGAAGTCACTAATTTGTAGTCTGAGCCATGTTGGTAGATGCAGACTACTTGATTGGGGTCCGTGTGACTATTGTAATCTATGGTTGGCGACTCTTGGTGACATGGCTCAGAATCGATCACAATGGGTTAGCGATTATAATTATTTCATATCTTTCTTGCTGTACTATATCCTTACATAAAATATTTCTTTTATTTATTACACCATTGAGTTAACTGCTTCTATGATGTTCTATGGTGTTTGTCCTGCTGTGCTAATGAGGTGTGGTAACTTGGACCGATGCATATATGTGCCTGGTCCTACGTTGTAACTCGCTGATATAGCTGGTACTAATAACCATTGTTAGTTTAATTGTTTTCGTTATCACTGTAGATTAGTCCGTATTACATCATATTCCAATGTGACAATTTCACACAAACACAATTGAGACAATATGAAATTGAATGACCTCATATCATTATAGCTTCATTGTTGTTTTGGCTTTCGTAAAACTCTCGAATATTCTTATGTAAATTTTGTATATAAATTAATATTTTGTTCATTTACTGAATTTACTATTTTGCTTTGGAATATATTTACACTTTGACCATGTCAATTTCGGAGTTGGGAACTAGTTCAGCGAAGAAAAATGTCTGAAAATATTAGATTAACCAATTACTGTCCTACTCACTGCCTTCTCGTGGCATTACTGTTGTTTACGAAATTTAGAGGACGAAAAGCGAATGTCCGGCTAATTAAACGGATTGGTTGACAAGGACGATCTACCTAAGGGAGTTGGAAAACCCTGATTCCAAACAAATAGTGCACATTGCCTTCAGGATCCTAAGAAAACAAACGCCGTATGAACCGATTGTTGGTCACCGGCTACCATGCAACTGCATCCCCTGATGTTGCTCCACTGCTTTGTGGATTAGACCTTAAGGTCAAAGGCTCAGAGCGTCACCCCCTAAGAGAACCGTCTGTTTCGGTTTAGGCATCGGGTCAGTATGCCAGCCTTCACATAAATCCAATGATTTATGTAACGCATATCTGCTTGGCACCTCGTTGTACCAATGTTTATGTGTTTAAATAAATAAATACAGTAAAAAATTAGTCTTCCAATGATTCTAATCCAAAAAATTTTTAATCGTCAAAAATTATCATATCATAGTAGGCTAGATATTAATTTCATTTACACTACATATGTTATACATTTCATATATATATAGGTTATTTGAATCTTCTCATTGACGATTACAACTGTAATTGTAGAAGACGCTCGTAAGCTATTAGTATTTGACCACAGATGTCTTAGAAATATTGCTGGCAACTGCTGGGATCACCGGGTAAGTAATAGTGAGGTTAGACGCAGGGTATTAGGGAATGATGGTAAATCAGTTGATGAGATTATGAATCTTCATCGACTGAGATGGTTGGGCCACGTGTTACGTATGCCTGAATACCGATTACCACGACGTGCAATGCTATCCGGTATTGGAAATGGTTGGAAGAAAGTTAGGGGCGGCCAAACCAAAACGTGGCATCAATGCTTGAAGTCACTAATTTGTAGTCTGAGCCATGTTGGTAGATGCAGACTACTTGGTTGGGGTCCGCGTGACTTTCGTAACCAATGATTGGAGACTCTTGGTGACATGGCTCAGAATCGATCACAATGGCGTCGGTGTATACACTCCCTGTCTTCCCTTAAACTAAGAGATTAAAATCGCTTCATATCTTTCTTTCTACGAACCAATTCTTTCTTCTTGTACTATATCTCTATATGCAATCTTTCTCTTATATATTACTACCTTTGACCTAACCACTGCTATAAATCCGGTGTTCATCTTGTTGTGCTGATGCGGTATGGCAACCTGGACCGATGCACATATGTGCCTGGCCCTAAGTTGTAGCTGACTGGCTGATTCTCTTCTGTGAGGACTGCCTCGATACTACTATCAAGTCACAAGCATTTTAAGTAGACATGGATGATGGCTAGCAGTGGAATTCTGGACGCTTATTTCACCCTATTTGAAACTCATACACCAGATGTATATGAATCCTAAGTTGATTTCCACTCCAAGACTCGAATCTAGTACTGTTCGACTCAAACATCATCGCATTATCCAATTATCTACTGAGTTCTGATAGCCGACTAGCTCGTGAAATGGAATTTAGTCTAATTCATTTGTATTTGTTGTTTACAATCCTCTTTGCTTAACGATACTTGTGACTTAGTGACAATATCAAGTCAATTCTCATGGGGTGCACATATATGAGAAGAGACTGACTGATCAATCACAGTCTTAAACATTAATGAAAAAATCCAAACAACCAATACATATATATGAGAATTCACAACATTGCACAAGTCTGCAGCTATCTGGACTGGACTCAGTAGCTAAATGCATAATATGATCGTGTTTGAAGTGAGGTGTACTGTGTTGAAGTTCCAAAGTGAATGTTAACTCTGGAATGCAAGTACATCTATCGTTCTACCGCTAGTCACCAACTCTATATGCTATACACTTTGAAAATTAGCTTAACAGTATAAACACTTACCTTAGATTTATTTAGAATATTGATCCATTCGTATTGTTTTGATAATTGAGAATAATAATAATAATAATAAAATGAAGTATTTTATGCATTCTTTAAACCTGGAAAATTCATGGTTAAATATAATTATTATTTATTGAATATGTATTATCATCAGTTGTTTGTATAACAGAATTAAGCATATCAATTGCTGTAACACTATTACCACGACGATAACCATAAGGCAATGTTACATTGAATGCATTCATAGAATAGGATCTTCTACTAGGGCCAATGGATCGTGTACGTCGATGTTGTTGAAGTTGTTGATGATGATGCTGACGATGTCTAATCATATGAGAAATATTATAATTACGATCGGATATGTCACCAACAACAGTAGTATCATTATTATTATTATTATTCTGAGGTTTTAACTGTTCCAGAATT